CTAAATTATTTGTATGTTATACGATCTCTATCTATTTTGATCTCCAATGACACTAGGAAACAGAGATTAAATGTGAAGAAAATTCCAGACATTAAATGAATTATTAAAGAGATGGCTGGCTTCAGTGAAAAATGTCAAGATAATATCTAATCAAATATCAACTTTACCCAAGCGGCACTGCTTGTCTTAAGGAGACAATGACATGCCTATGTTGTTGCCATCATATTCTCTTGAATGTTTGGTCAAATTGTCCAGGGTATAGCACACACAAAGACTGACATTAGGGGTGTACCCTGCTCTCTTTCTCTCTAAGAAATATCTTAGATTTATCCCTCTGTTCATAAATTGTATTTTAACCCCTTGATGTGATGCAGGAGGAGGTGGAGCCTTTGGGAGGTGGCTACGAGGCTGGGCTCCTCACCAACTGGGTCACTAAACTTATAAAAAGAAATTTCACAGACCTTACCCTTTGTACTATATGAGGACATAGCCATAAGCAGTCACTTATAAGCCAGGGAAGAGTTATTCCCCGTCTACCACAGCTGCAGACATATTAATTGAGAAGTTCCAGCTTCAGGAATCATCAGAAATAAATTTCTGTTATGTATAGTCACTCAGTCTACAATTCTTTAGTTACAGCAACTGCAACCAGCTAGGACACAGACTAAGTCAAAGACCTAATCCTGTTCAACTCAAGTACAAAGCTTGATCAGCCAGGCAGGCAAAGGAGAAAGTACAGGGAAAACACTGTAGATGATAGAGTATATTATGTTCATTTAAACAACACAGTATTGTCCTATAAGTAAAATCAATATGCTTTAGTCTTGAATAAGTATGTGTGCCAGAGAACTTTCCTAGTGCTTTTCTCTGTTTCTTAAATGGTCCTTTTAATGCCATTATAAGATGCTCTTCTGTTAGTGTTTTATCAATTAGATTATTGACGGTCAGAGAGGTACTAACCTCTTTGAACCCAGTACCATTAGCCAAGTGTTGCAGAGCTGAGATTTAAATTCCATCTGACCACCCAACAAACAAAAAAAGCAGAAATGGGCAACAGGATATTGTGTGTGTGTGTGTGTGTGTGTGTGTGTGTGTGTGTGTGTGTGTGTGTTGAAGAGGGTGGGTATCAAATCTTATCTTGAAGTTCTCAGCCATCATTGCTCCTCCTTGGTGGTTTTGTTTATTTATTTGTTTGTTTGTTTGTTTTTCCTCTCCTCATTCACCTTCCCTTGGCCTTTCATGCCTGAGTCCTCAAAGACCCTCATCAGCAGAGAGATTCTCGGGTTCTAGAGAACATGTTTCCTGGTTTGCTTTTCTGGTGCTGTGAGCAAAAGCAGCATGTAAGAGGAAAGGTTTTCTATGTTTTCACTTCCAGGTCATAGGTCACCACTGGGAGACAACAAGGCAGGAGCTCAGCAAGAGTCTGAAGGCGGACCTGCTTGTTCTGCACATCGGCGTACAGTGGAGTACAGCAGGAACCATAGCAGAGTCTGTGGCTCAGTTCCAGCTGCCCTGGGATGGCACCATCCTCAGTAGGATGGACCCTTCCGTGCTGATCATCAACCAAGACAACCCCAGGACAGTTTGATCTGGAAGAAAAATTCTACAGGCAAGGTTCCCTCTTCCCAGATGACTCTGTATTATGTCAAGTGGACAATGGAAACTCACCAGGACATAGACACTCCTTTTAGATGGCACAGCGTCTTCCAATTAGATGTGAGCAGGTAGATAGTAGAACTGTGAGACTGGCAAAGATTCCACGTCTGTGCTGGGCCCTTTGGGGACCTTAAACTAAAACCTAGTCCCCAGGAAAAGCTGAAGGCCGACCTCCCAGGCCCTGCTGAAGCTGAAGGGATGTGGGACCCCTCTTTAGAGGAAGTATTAGCTAAGGGAGAAACCTAAGTTACACAAAGTTGCTGACTGCAGCCCATTCCCTTACCCATAGTCATACAGAAAATGCTGACCCCCAACTTCACCTATCAGCTGGGTAATATTTCAAACAACCCCTGTGGTTAGCAAAGTGTCAGCAGACGTCTGGAAGATGTGGGAGGGGGTGGCTGTTGCTATGCTCCTTAGATAATAATAGCCTATCAGGAACTAACAGCTGAGCTTTACCTAATCTTTAGCCAATTGTAATATAGGATAAGTAATTCTGTATTTTGAAACTGTAATCTTGTGACTGTTTTCCAAATTTGTCTTTAAAAACCCCTGGCAAAAATATATGAGGTCCTTCTCCCTCCATCTGCTGTGTCAGACTGTGAAGCAGAGGACCTGAGCTAGCTCATACTTAATAAAGGAAACCTTGCCTTTGCATTCAGAAGTGTGTCTCCATGATGGTCTTCTTGGAGGTCCTAGGATTCAAGCACCTTGCTCAGCACAGGTTCCTTAACCTTTCCTACACTAGGGCTTTGCTGCAGGGGCTGGGATGCTCCCTTCCTCATCATGGTGTAAGGACTCCCTGGGGAGCCCGACTCAGGGGGTTTGCATCTGCTGTGCCTTGGACCGGGAACTTTTGTTTCTGGGCTTCTAGTTCACTATGTAGAAAGTGGTACAAACAGGGGACTAGACAGAGCAGTGGGGAGCAAATGAGAACACCGGGGACATGTCTTTACATAGAGCAAGTGCTTATTAAGACCCGGTGTTGTCATTTTAGATATAAATCTCACGAAAAGAGAGACACTGCTATGTTCCTGGATGTATTTCTCCTGACGGTGTTTGGCAGAGAGCAGGCACTCAATATTTTGAATGAATTAATGAGTGAATGGATGAGACAAATCACTTAGCTGCTAGTTTTAACTTGGTCATTGAAATTCAGGGAACCTAGACCTGAAGAGCCATTTCTCAAAAGAAGACATACAAATGGCCAGCGGGTACATGAAAAAAAATGATCCACATCGCTAATCACCAGGGAAACACAAATTAAAATGACAATGAGGCATCACTTCATACTTATTAGGATAACTATTATCAAGAAGGACAATAAATAAATACAAAGGTGAGAATCTGGGGATTTCACTCTGAAGTAGAGCACTTACTGAACATGTATGAGAACCTGGGTTCAATCTCCACCTTAAGGCAAATGAAACTGTCGGTGATGGTGGGAAAAAGCGTAGCCATTATGGAAAACACTAGGATATTTCTCTAAAAGTGAAAATACGCAGTTCTCCCATAATCATATATCTAAAACTATACCAAATGACTCAGCAGTCCTACCCTAGGATATGATGAGGCACTTGAGTCCCGAGATTATTGGCAATAGCCAAGACTCGGGATCAAACCGGGGTTCCATTCGCTGATGTAAAGATACGGGCCATGTGGTCTATCTCTACAATGGAGTAACGTTCATCCTTCCCGATAGGAAACAGTCCATTTTAACAACATGGATAGATACAGAAGTCACCAAAAGAAGTCATCCAGGCACAGAAAAGCAAACACTGCATGCTCTCATCTGTATTCACAGTGTTTAAAAAGATAACTGGGTTCATAGAAACAGAATGGAATGGAGAGTAGGGAGACTGGAGAGATGCTGATTAAAAGACACCAAAGTTCCATCAGATGCCAGAAATAAACTCTGTAATACCTCGCAGAGCACGGTGACTAAGGTTTCATCATGGTCTTGCACATTGTCTAACATATATTGTGAAGCTCCATTTAACCAACCCAGGGTACATACACGAAAACCTGATGCCATGTTGCTATAAATATGTTACAATTTTGTTTGCCAGTGACAAGTTTAAAATTAAATAAAATAAAAGTTTAGGGCATTAAGATAGGTACTAGACAAATTAAATAAAAATAAAGACATATGAGAAACCCTTCACGGCTTCTGAAAGGTACTTTTTGGAGACTTAGCATGGATGGCACTGGCCTCCTGTGTTAGAGCGTGGGTTTAGCTTCATCATACCTTCTGGTTTGGGTTGCATCCTGAAGACACCTCCTCTTCGCTATGAGCGATGCATCTCTGCCCCTTCTCATCGCGTTATTCAGTGCTGGCCTACAGCCTCTGCTCCTCCACAGGATCTCAACTTCAGTGCTGGGACTCTGCGTTCAGGAAAGCCCCCTCTCACCTCGCCGGCACCTAGACATCGATTCTTGAGCTGGGAAGGTGTACTGTGGGTACCACTGGCTCTAATCCAGAGCCTCCAAGGGTCATCCCACCAAAACTGCTATCTGCCACCAGCAAGCTCTGCCTTCCCTCGCTGGCTCTCTTTGGCTATGATTAGAAAATAAAAAGATAACGTGTTTCATAAATGACACATTTATGAAAAACAAATAATACTTTTTGCATACATTATAACAAGAAATAATTCTTGTGCCTTCAAGTCTTCGTTTCTTAGGTGGGATTGTTTAAGCAGAAGAAAATAGGGCCAAGGATCATGTAAGGAGACAAGTGGCAGCGAGCGCCTGTGAAGTTAAGAGAGCATGGTTTTGGTGCACGGCGCTTCAAAGGCTTGCGGGAACTGTGACTTTGCAGCCTCCCGTAATTAGATCTGTGTGTGGATCAGGACTGAAGAGTCCCTCATTGGAGAAAGGACCCGCCTTTCTCACCTAATCCTGGGAAGGCTACCTATCCTGTCCAAGTGAACTTCGTTCTTCGGGAGAATTAACTCAGTGTGGCTTGACTTGCCGGATACACGCTCGGTTTCATGGTGCATGTGCCTTGATGCTCACAGTTGATAAGGATATGCTTACACAGTAAAGACATGTGAACATCACCTGCCTGCTGACATGCTGCTTTCGTGCAGTGTTCCTCCCAACTATCATCCGAAACTATCGCCGTTTAGAAGCAAATGCCGAGCTGCCTCAGAAAAGACCAGGGTAACCCTGCGGCTGCAGAAGGGAAACCCCGTTAGCGGAACGCGACAGGGGTTCTCTTTGCCGCACCCCGGATTCAGATCCGTGGAAACAGCTCGCATTCATTCTGCTCCCTGGGAGACTAAATTCTCATTGCTTCACCCCGCGCAGCTTTAGATTCAGATTTAGGGTTTCATTTATTCATTTGAAACATGAGATGCTTCACAGATTTCACGTCATCCTTGCACGGGGGCCATGCTGATCCTCCCTGTGTTGTTTCTGTTTTAGTCCATGTGCTGATGAAGAGAGCAGCTCATCTTGATTTTCTTGCTAAAGAAGAAATCTCGAAGGAGACTCCGAGCTTAGTTTTCATTTTGTGTTACTTACTTGAAACATCGAGAGGTCAAAACTCTGCTGTGTTCAAAATTAAAACGTGTGTGTGTGTGTGTGTGTGTGTGTGTGTGTGTGTGTGTAAATACCTTCTAGTTTTAATGGCAAGTTTCAAATTGGAACACTGTATGTGACTCAAAAGTCTGGAAAGTTTTGTGCTCTTTTTGTAAAAGATGAAGTCTCACTATGTTGTTCAAGCTGGTCTCGAACTCCCCCGATCAAGCAGCTACACCACTTCAGCCTCTCCAGTAGCTAGCTACAGGCACACATCACTGTACCCAATAGGTGATTTCAATTTTTCTTTCTGAACAAATGTCTTATTTTGAGCTAAGAACGTATTCACTGTGCAGAGACACATTTTCTAATAATAATTTTGCACAGAACTGTGGGCAGATTTTCCTTTTGAAAGTAACTTACTAGTCACTAATTGATTCCCCTGTCTTGAAAAGACTCAATGAATTTTTCAAAAGTAATTATATAGATATGACCAACGTCTAGTTTTTCATTTCTGATGCATATTAACATTACCTGAATGATCGTCTCTGCTCCATTTGAAAGCGCTATAGCTGAAGTGAGCTTAGTGACTACATTCACCACAGCTGAAGGGAGCGACTGTCGGCCTTATATCTCTAACTGAAACTCAGACTTTGGGTTTTTCATTTTCTTCTTGAACGCCTACAAGAAATGCCTTTAGAAATAGGCAAAGAAGACTTTGGGGGGATAACACAGGACTTGATGACTCCACTGAGCTTCACGGTAGAACTGTAAAAGACTAAAGATTTATATAATCTGAAGAGAAGCCAGTTATTCCCACTGCATAATTAGAAGTAGTGGACATTTCTTTTTCTGCGTGCTACACTGAGCAATTTCTACCCAGTAGGGCAGTCTACCACAGGAGCAAACAGAAACTGGGGACTCACAACAGCGTGTGAGGTGCCCGTGGGCTCTGTTGAAACCCCAGTTCCCTTTAAATCTAACTAATTGTTTTTGTCCTATGATGTGGACAATGTCCAGGGGAGGGGCTCTGATCATTGGAGGCGGTGCAAAGCCTGGAATACACGGGAGTTGTCAGAGTGCATTTTTCCTCCTCCTGTTCGAATTCTGAATCCTGCAGTACAACATCTAAGACGCTTTTGCTTCTGGTTCAAGTCTCGTGGTCTTATTCAGTTCTTGTAAAACTGGAAAGATGGGTGACAGGAATTGAGAGCAATCTTTTGGAGTAAAAACTGGCTCACCAAGATTTTAGAGTTCCGGGGGAAATCTCGTTTCCTGATCTGAATCCATTCAGAGCTTTGGAAGGCTGCCAAGGACTTCACTTAGCAAGGATGTAAGATTGATTATTGGTGACCATGGTAAATCACACTTGTAATCCCAGAACTTGGGAGACTGAGGCAGAAGTCTGTGGTCAGTTTGGACTACATAGAGAGACCCTTTCTCAGGGAGAGGGAGAGAGAGAGAGAGAGAGAGAGAGAGAGAGAGAGAGAGAGAGAGAGAGA